CCCTCCCCTCCCCTCCTTCTCTTCTCTTCTCTCTTCCCCTTCCCTTCCCCAAGTCCCCCTGGCCCATCTCTTCTCCCTCCTTTCCTCCCTGCCAGCCATTACCTTCTTGTCCCATCCGCACACCATGCTGCCCACCGAGAGCCCCATGCCCCGGTATTCGGCCAGCATGTTGGCCAAGAGCTTGGAGGCGGCTGAGACGCTGATCCGCTCCTTGTTCCGAAGGAAGTGGAGCCTGGATTGGGAGGGCAGAAGGAAGGCGAGGTCAGAGGGAGAGGGTCCATCTTCTTACTCCGTGTCCCCAGATATTTCCGTCTCTCCCCGGTCTTCAGTCCCTGTCTGACCACAATGGACCCATCGGATTCCTTGTATAAGGGGAAGGGTCCTAGGATCCCTTTGGCTTTAGGTTGAGCCAACCTCTTGTCTGAGATGGTATAGGTTCTCCTGCTTGAGCAGGGGGCTGGACTAGAAGACCTTCAAGGTCCCTTCCAGCTCTATTCTATTCAAGGTTGCCCAAAGAGAGACCTAAACCTTTGATGGGCTGAGGAGCCGGAGAGAAAAGCCCCAGAATGTGCTAATTGGAGAATGTGATTTATGACATCTTTTGGGGGTGGGAAATGCAACTTGTTACTTTGTTTGTGGGGGGGAGGAAATCTCAATCTTGGGTTCAACTATGTAAGTGCCGATATTTTGTTTCCTGAATAAAATGTTCTTAAAGGAAGAAATCCTTGCCTTGAAGTTCTTTTAATTGGTTTCATCTATCGGAACCCTGACACCCTCATTTGAACATTAACCTTATCATTTCTGATTGCCCGCCCAGTTTTTACTTAGGCTGACTGTGCTCGATTTCCTTAACTCGATCTCGTCACTGATGACCCAAAGAAAGCTGGCAATGGATTACGGGCAGGTGCAGCCAATCAAGCCACCCGCATCAGATCCCTTACCTGCAGTATTTGGCCAGGAGACGCTCCCAATATTGGCAATCGGCCGCACATCCAGACATGGTGCCCAGCAGGTAAGGGTTGATCTCGATCACTTTGTTGCACTGGAAAGTATCTTCGTACGAAAAGGAAAGGGAGACAGGAAGACCAGTTCAGCCCCAGTCGGCACAGCTGCTGGGCAGCTTTAACCAAAGATTTTAAACCCGCCATAGATCAGAAGGAAGCGGGCAGCCGCTTTCCGATAAACAGATTTTATAAAAGGGCATTTATCTGCTTTTGGTGACTGCATCTGGAATCGTCAGCCTGCGTCGGAGGGAGTGGGCTGCAGGGGCACAAAGGCTGAAGCCTTTTCATAACATGTGTTAGCCTGGAAAAAAAAACCTCTACCAGACTAAAGGTGCTTTTTCAAAAGGCAACCTGGACTTATAATAATAATAATAATAAAGTTGGAAGGGACCTTGGAGGTCATCTAGTCCAACCCCCTGCTCAGGCAGGAAATCCTATACAGTAGTGGCCAAAATTGTGGAAACCTTTTGGGAAAAGTGTACAGTAGAAATGCCAACTTTGGTTAAGTTTCCACCCATTTTTCTTCTAATTTTCTTTATAACTGTAGCCTTGTTCACTTAATAATTCTATTTGACATCGCTTTCTGGGCCACCAGTCAACTCTTTGCACCATTACTTTAATTTTATTACATTTTACAAGCTCACTAAATGAAAGAACACACAAAAAAACCCCAACCAACTTAATAGCGATCACATAACACACTGACAAATGTCCTTCTCTCAGCTTCACTGCATGTCATCAATAACTGAATCTACTCTGATCCGATTGGCTCATTGCCAAAATAAGATGACACCTGATTGGCTCTCTAAACACTCATGCTCATTGGCTACAATCAGATGAAGGCAAGCTACCTGATATCAACCTAAGCAAGTTGTGCTTCCTTTTTCTGGTTATTTGGCTATAACTTTTCATAGAATACAGTACAGATAATTGAACAAACTTTGTTGCATTACGTTCTTGATTAAGTTATCTTTCCATTGATTTTATGGTACTACTACAAAAAAAGTGGTGTTATTAGCTATCAACCCTCAAAAATACACTTTTCCCAAAAGGTTTCCACAATTTTGGCCACTACTGTACCATTTCGGGCAAATGGCTGTCCAGTCCCTTCTTAAAAACTTCCAGTGTTGGAGCATTCACAGCTTCTGGAGGCAGGTTGTTGCACTGGTTAATTGTTCTAACCAGTGCTTTTTTTGTAAAAAAAAAAAAAAAAAAAAGGTGCCGGAACTCACACATGTCATACAACCCGCCTTGCCTACCCTACAAGTTTCCATCCCAAAAAGGTGCCGGAACTCCGTTCTGGGCGTTCTATGACAAAAAAAGCCCTGGTTCTAACTGTCAGGAAGTTTCTCCTTAGTTCTAGGTTGCTTTGTTTTTCCTTGAAGTTGTTTCGCTTCTCATCCATTTCGCTTCTTCAGTTCTAACTGGATGGTGGAGGACTGTTCTCCAGTGCTTCAGTTTTTCTTCAGGGCTTCTTCAGCCCTTCAGTCCTTCTTCAGCCAGAACAAATTTACGATGATCCCCATGATCATGTGATCAAAAGTCAGGCGCTCGGCAACTGACTCATATTTATGATGGTCGTAGAGTCCCGGGGGTCATGGGATCCCCTCTTGTGACCTTTTGACAAGCCAGATTCACTTAGCAACCAAGTTACTAACTTGTCAACTGCAGTGATTCACTTAACTCTGGGGTCTTCAAACTTGGCCCTTTTATGACTTGTGGACTTCAACTCCCAGAATTCCTCAGCCAGGCACATGTGCCTGGCTGAGGAATTCTGGGAGTCGAAGTCCACAAGTCATAAAAGGGCCAAGTTTGAAGACCCCTGACTTAAACCACGGTGGCAAGGAAGGCCATAAAACAGGGCAACAGGCAAGGAAGGCCATAAAACGGGGCAATTCTGGGAGTCGAAGTCCACAAGTCATAAAAGGGCCACATTTGAAGACCCCTGACTTAAACCACGGTGGCAAGGAAGGCCATAAAACAGGGCAACAGGCAAGGAAGGCCATAAAACGGGGCAATTCTGGGAGTCGAAGTCCACAAGTCATAAAAGGGCCAAGTTTGAAGACCCCTGACTTAAACCACGGTGGCAAGGAAGGCCATAAAACGGGGCAACAAACATCTTGCTTAACAACGGAAATTTGAGGCTGAGTTGTAGTCATAAGCTGAGGACTACCTGTATTAAGTACCAGTAAAGTCCGATCTGCGTTGTCTCCAGGGAGTTTTA